ACCCCCCAGCCCCTGGCTGCACCCCTCTTCCCATGAAATATGCCCACGTTTAGATAAGAAGACAAAATGAAGAAGTTATACCGGAAAGATTAGTCTCCTGGGCAACAGAGAGTAGATCAGTCTAGAGATGGGGAAACAGAGTGGGCAGAGGACAGAGGAAATAGCAAACTACCAACGCCAGGCATGAGCGTGGGCCTTTGTGGAACACACAGCATTTTCACAGCTGGGATTCCTGTCCCCCTGGCGACTCCCTCCTGGCTAGAGATGCCTGGCCTGCCCTGGTTTTCTGGCTCCCCCTTTGATGACATTTGGTGCTCTTGGCACAGACTCTTGGGCTGATCCCCAACATTTTCAACTTTTCCATCACAGACCCCCTGCGTACCCAGCCCTTCTCCAACTCAGTTTCTGCCAGTTCTCATTGCGCAGGGACTGGCTGGAGTTGTCTTGGAGCAGTTGTGAGGGCAGACCCCCCAAGAGCAGGTTGGTGCTGCACCCAACCTCCTCTCCCTAGTCTGGAGATACACTGCAGATGTGCAAGCTGACAGGTGTGCAGGGGCGATTGTGGCAGCATCATGGGAAACACAAAAGAAATAACCTACAAATACAAATTCAAAAGAAATAACCTAAGTCCCCATCAATAGGAATAGGTTGTGATATATACAAATAATGGAAGGAGAAGGCAGCTCTCTGTATACAGACAAGGAATAATCTTCAAGATCTAATTTTAAGTGAAAAAAGAAAGGGGCAGCACAGTATATAAATTTTGCTACCATTTGTGTTAAAAAAGGAAACAGGAAATGATACTTACACTTGTACATGCAGAGAGTTTTCTGGCAGAAACAGTGGTTACCTCTGGGGAGGAAAACTGAGTGGCTGGGGAAAGGGTGTAGTGAAATGTCCTCTCTGAGCTTAGTGCCATGTGTGTAGTGCCTGTTCAAAAAGTCTAATTAAAAACAAGATAAATGCTTTAGAATCAACATAGAGATGTGGAAATAGATGGGATCTTGAGTCTCATTCCTTAGTTGTACAGATTAGAACATTGAGCCCAAATTTCCATAACCACTAAGTGACTAGAACCCTCACCGTCACTGGCACCTATGCTCAAAGGAACGCAGCTTCAAAACCCTACATATCACACGCATGCCTATGTTCACAGCAGCACTATTCACAATAGCCAAGATATGGAAGCAACCTCAGTGTCCATCAACAGATGAATAGATAAAGACGATGTGGCATATATATATATATATATATATATATATATATATATACACACACAATGGAATACTACTCAGCCATAAAAAAGAATGAAATGCCATTTGCAGCAACATAGATGGACATAGAGATTATCATATTAAGCGAAATAAGTCAGAAAAAGACAAATATCACATGATATCACTTATATGTGGAATCTAAAATACGGCACAGGTGGACTTATCTACAAAACAGAAACAGACTCACAGACATAGAGAACAGACTTGTGGTTGCCAAGGGGGAAGGGAGTGGGGGAGGGAAGTATTGGGATCTTGGGATGAGCAGATGCAAACTATTATATATAGGATGGATAAACAACAAAAGGAAAGGGAGGGTTGGAGGCGAGAGAGGCTCTTCCCAGGTCACTGTATAGCACAAGGAACTATACTGAATATCCTGTGATAAACCATAATGGAAAAGAATATGAAAAGAATATATATATTATATGTGTGTGTGTGTGTGTGTATATATCTGAGTCACTTTGCTGTACAGCAGAAATGAACAACATTGCAAATCAACTGTACTTCAATAACATTTAAAAAGAACTCTGTGTATCAGTAGAGCCGACAGTGTAAATGTCAGGGTTGTACCACAGGGCGAGACATTTGAGACTCAGTTTCTTTATTTGTACTGTGAACAATGAACTTGTTGTGAAGATAGTTAGATGGTGCATGTTTCTCCTAGTACCTAGCATGTGCTATCAGCATCTGATAAATGACTGTTATTTGTTATTTGGAGCTATTATGGTCTTGTTTGGGAAGGGAGGGATGTGAGGAAGGATGTCACAGGAGCGTCTGGAGATGAAGGCTTGCAGAATAAAGAAAAATAAAACACACACAGAGAACCCTTGACTCTCATTTATTTAAATAGTCACTAGAGAATCAGAGAGAGTAAATGATGGTTAACATGGAAAACATATGTTAGGGTGTGTGTAAGAGGGATATTGTGGAGAAAATTTCCAGTCCTTTTCACTCCAAAATGCCACTAAGAGCCACCTGTGACCAGCATTGTTCCTTGTGCTGAGAAATAAATGTGCACAACCCAGGACCATCTGTGTGCTTCTCTCCATTTCTCTTTCATGCCTGATTGTCCAAAACACGCTCATTATTCTTGCTAGCTTATTTCCTTTCCCATTTTCTCCTCTTCTGGGGCAACAGGTCAGGTGTGACTCAGAGCTCTGAGTGTTCTACTGGGAAATGGTTCGCCTTCCGTGGAGAGGCTGGAAAGATCCTGTTGTTCTGGGCAGCTCTGCTCACAGCTGCCTGGGCTGAGGAGCTTAGCGAGAGTCCAATGAGAGCCCCTCATTGCCTTTGTGCCAGAAATCCACCTTCCTGTAGGCTGAGGGGCAAGAACACAAGTTTCCCTCTCTTGGTTACCACTTCATGATTTGTAATCATTCCATTCCTGCCTGATGGGAAGGAAAATATTGTGTGAGGTTCCAAGCTCAGGTTCTGCAATCATCCCTCCTGGGTTTAAATCTTCACTCCCCTGTGATAGCTTTGTGGTTGTGTGCTAGTTGTATAAGCTCCCTGCCCAGTTTCTATCTGAAAAAATGGTGGGTGGGGACAAAATGAGATAATCTGGGTACAAGGCAGAGCACAGGGCTTGGCTCTTAGTAAGTTATCTGAAAAGGTAACTTGAAATCATAGCAGCAGCTATAGCAGTAGCAGAAGTAAATAGAAGAAATAAAAAGGAGGTCTGGTTATTGGAGGAAGGTCCATCAGCACTGACTTCAAGGAATAGGGCCATTGTCACCAACTGCATTTTTGTGTGTGCCACTGCTCCCACTGCCCACCTGTCCCCCCCAAATGTATCCAATCTTTGCTGGCCTGGGTTACCAGTGAAGAATGCTGTTTGGTCCCAGTAGTTCTGCAAGCAGGGTGATTTTAAGGAGGAGATTGTCCTGGTGGACAAATATCTTTTCCTGGTCCAGAGTGATACGTGATATATCAAAGCTTTTAACAAATGTGTGAATACGTTATTGACTTACCTTATTTCAAAGACATAAATATAGGGCAAAGTCACTTAACCCTGAAGGCAGAGATCAATAAGTGGTAGAGGGCTTCCCTGGTGGCGCAGTGGTTAAGAGTCCGCCTGCCAATGCAGGGGATACGGGTTCGTGCCCCGGTCCGGGAAGATCCCGCATGCCGTGGAGCGGCTGGGCCCGTGAGCCATGGCCGCTGAGCCTGCGTGTCCGGAGCCTGTGCTCTGCAACGGGAGAGGCCACAACAGTGAGAGGCCTGTGTACAGCAAAA